ATTTTCAAGGTTAAGTGTGAAAAAGTGCCCTTTTCGACTTAGTTTTCAAACCGGAAGTCCCGTGCTAGTTCCGTAAGTTTCCACAACTTACATTGGTCCCTCCTGAGGTGTTTGAGATGTTCCCCGGGCCGTCTCATGGCTGTTGCAAGATTTTAGCCCTCGATGGCCTATTTTCAAGCTTAAATGTGAAAAAAGTATTTTTTTCGACTTAGTTTTCAAACCGGAAGTCCCGTGGTAGTTCCGTAAGTTTTCACAACTTACGTTGGTCCCTCCTAAGGTGTTTGAGGTGTTGTTCGGGCCTTCTCATGACTATAACACGATTTTGACCTCCAATAGCCTATTTTCAAGCTTAAGTGTGAAAAAGTGTATTTTTGGACTTAGTTTTCAAACCGGGAGTCACGTGCTAGTTCCGTAAGTTTTCACAATATACATTGGTCTCTCTCGAGGTGTTTGAGGTATTTCTCAGGCTGTCTCGTGACTGCTACACAACTTTGACTTCCGATGGCTTATTTTCAAGCTTAAGTGTGAAAAAAGTGTCTTTTACGACTTAATTTCAAACCGGGAGTCTCGCGCTAGTTCCGTAAGTTTTAACAACTTACATTGGTCCCTCCTGAAGTGTTTGAGGTGTTGCCCAAGCCTTCTCGTGACTGTTGCACGATTTTGGCCTCCAATGGGTTGTTTTCAAGCTTAAGTATGAAAAAAGTGTATTTTTAGACTTAGTTTTCAAATTGGGAGTCTCATACTAGTTTCGTAAGTTTCCACAACTTACATTGGTCTCTCCCGAGGTGTTTGAGGTGTTCCTTGGTCTGTCTCGTGGCTGTTACACGATTTTGACCTCTGATGGCCTATTTTCAAACTTAAGTGTGAAAAAGTACATTTTTGAACTTAGTTTTCAAACTGGGAGTCCCATACTAGTTTCGTAAGTTTCCACAACTTACATTGGTCCCTCCCGCCATGTTTGAGGTGTTCCTGGGCCGTCTCATGGATGTTACATGATTTTGGCCTCCGATGGCCTATTTTCAAGCTTAAGTGTGAAAAAGTACATTTTTTGACTTAGTTTTCATATTTCATTCTCTCTCTCTCTCTCTCTCTCTCTCTCTCTCTCTCTAACAATCAAATTCAAAATCTAAACACACATTTAGTTTGTAATCACCTTTAACCATTGCAACTTTCTTTCTATGTTTCTATGATTTCGTCATCAAAACTTTTTAACGACAATGTGGCACTCCTATACTTTTCTTACTTTTTGACAGGGACATATAGATGAAATTAGCTACCCTAATAAGGAGGAAGTGATAAAACAGCATTAAAAAATGGAAGGTTAAAATGAAGTTCGATGGCTTAACAAAAAGAAAACAAAATGGAATTTACCTCATGTCTTTTGACTTAGAAATAGAATGTACTAAATGCTCAGGAGAGTAAGGAAAGAAGAGGCAATATGAATTTCCAGAGAGATCCTTCTGTGGCTTTGCATATCTACAATCTACAAGAATAAAAGCAACATTGAAGGATGAAACTGTAGATTAGTTGTTTCGTGCAAAACAAGAGCAAGGAGCAAGACAGGAACAAACCCCGACAAAAGGTAGGTCCACTCTACAGTCATACAGGACTTGCACATCGTTCCGAGGAGCTTTAGACTTGTAGTAATGATTATCACTTTCACAACAAAACAAATAGATCAATTAGAAGAACAAATACTTTTGTATGTTATTTAATAGTGACAGGATGCCAAACATATACAAGTTAACAGCACATAATGAAAGCGAATATTTGAAAAAAGGTTGTTGAAGATACAAGCAATGGAGATCAAATCCATCGACATAAACTATCAAAATGAAATAGAACCACCTAAAAATCTAAAAAATTTGCAATAATATAAATGAAATCTCAAACAATATAAGATTAAAGGTGATACTGAAACAGATACTGAAACATTTTCATCAGAATTTTTCATTTTATTTTTCTTACAGTATAACAAGTGCCAAATAATCCTGTACACACAAAGTGATTATCAAATTTCTTCCTAGTCTCTTAATTCCCACCCCTCCCAACTCTTTGCAGGGAGTTAATGCAATGTTCCTCGTGATGAAAACATGAAATTTTTTTCTTTTCTCATATTGCATTTGTTTGTACAAGCTTCCAAGAGATTCTGTATCATTTTTGTAAGTTGTAAATTGAACAATAAACAATTTTGTATATTAGGATTTCAAAAAAATCGACAATGAAATAGCAATTTATACACTCACAAAAAGAAAAATGCTTTAAAAAAGTTTTCTTGTAACTTTTGGAAAGGAAACCTAATTAAAACACCACTGGAAAGGTTGTAGACAGTTTGATTAGCAATTAAGGAAGCAAACAAGCTATTTTCACAAAGTCGACGACTCAAATACTACAATGTCAAGGCAGAGAAATTTCTACGCAAGAATCTTTAAGGAAGCAGCACATAAGAGAAAAGAAAAAGTTTGAATTGAACATGCTCAATTAAGAAATTCTCAAGGCAGAACCTTTATTTTGAGTATGTAAATTCTACAAGTTCATTTGTCTTCCAAAGACACAAATTTCAGAAATTATAGACAATGTATGACCAAAATGAAATCCAGGGAAATAATCTTAATATCATTAGCTTCCAAGCAATGGACATAAAGATACGCTAAATTCTAGTTGTTGTCAAGACAAAAAGGCCAATTTACAAACCTGAACCTCACAGGGAAGCTATATCCTTTTGCTGGGATAGGAGCGTTTGTTAACATCTAGAACAGCAAAGGGAAAAATATTCTTCTCAGTACCTCGAGTAGTACCTTCCAGATATCATGTCCACATATATAACACTTTCATTGGCACTCAACCAACGGCCAAACACTTGATCATTTAATCCTACCATAAAAAGGAAAATGGAAAAGTAACAATTACCTTAAAGCTCCACTTTGTCTTCAGAAACAAAAAAATTGGCATTTAAATTATTCGTCAATTTCAGACTAAGATTTCCACCTGATAGATACAATTAGTATGGCTTTTTAAACATTAATTCAATGTTGTCTTTTAGATCTAGATTTCCGGAATGGATTTGTGAGTTTTAGTTGTGACAAACTGAAAATTAATGTAAAATTTTATCATACACCAACCTTCTACACTGAAGTTGAGCTGACTTCCAAGGTGGAGGACTGGATTCTTAGGGTATAAATGAGAACCCACTGAAATCTGAAGAAATTCACAATTTAGAAAACGCAACAGAGGAAATCTTAAAAAGCAGTAATTACGCCTACAAGCATAATCTTAACAATTACAACATCAAGCTTAAGAAGTCTAATTCCCTAAGCAAACAAAATAACACAGCATATGCACAAGCATTCGTACAAAGAGAAAGAAGAACCTAAGCCTATGAATTTGTCAACAGAAAAAAGAACCTGAAATTTTTGGGGGGAAAACAATGGACTATTGCAGTTTCAAGAGAATAAAATGTAACAATTTATTTTTCCAAAAGAGAAGTCACTTTTACCAAACCCCAAAACTTAATATTTAGTAGCCAAAAAGTTTTTTTCATTTTATTTTTATTTTTAGCTACTAACTATTTAGTCGCTAAAAATATTTACTTCCTTTTTGTCTACTAATTGTTTAGTCGCCAAAAACATGATTTTATTATTTTTAATTATTTTGTCCACAATCTGTATGTATTCCGTGCAACTTGTACCATGTATATAAATAAAACAATACATATATTATCAATCATTCCATAATTTTCATCCATTTCACTTCCAACCATCCAAAAAGGAATCACTTTTAATGTCAAATTTCATACAAACTAAATATATTCCAACCTAAAATAATAATTCCATACAAAACATGTCCTCCGTACACAAAAAAAATATATTAGCAACCAGTTGCACCAGCTACAGCAGCAGCAACCAACTGCATAACTCCAGCAGGATTTACAGTTCTAGCAATGTAGAAAGCAACATTAGATGCAGCAGTCACAAATAGCTCCCAACAACAGTCCTACATTTCAGGCCATAACACAGCTACATCATGGCCAGATATAATGATACCTGAAAATAGAAGATCTAAACACCTAAAGAAAATCAATAGAAGAGAGAACCAATCAAACATTTTAGATTCTTATTTATTCTTTTCTGGCAACGTTAGAATAGATAGTTATGCTATAATATATATATATATATATATATGCATTCTAATTTGTCAAGCGGATGTTATTCCTAACATCATTTGATGTTTTGTCTTATAAAAGAAACCTAACAAGAAAAAAAAATCAAGATTTCCAAATTTAGTGTTCTTAGTTGTTCAAAACAAAAAATAAAAAATTAGTGTTCTCGAGGGAAAGTTTTCCATTCCAAAACACAAGTACCAAAATGTGGATTCCTAGAAGACTTCTATTTTATTTGTTTAGCTTCAAGACATCTATTATCTTTAGAACAACACCAAAACTCTGCAGGACAACAAAAAAAAAAAAAAAAAAAACCTCAGATATCAAGATGCCATTTTGCTCACCCAGTATTTCAACATCAAAACCAACTTCTAACTGTGATAATATACATGAATGTGAGGCAAGTATATGGGATGAAATATAAAAAATTAATACATACAAGCATGGTAACGCAAGTAAACCACATTTGGCATGCTTTTGAGCACTCAGGAACACTTGACACAAAAAGTAACACATTTTCAGCAGATGTTAGATTAGTAGGAGTCGATGGATTGGGTCAGTAAAAATAGTTCTGGACCTTTTTAGGTTCTAAAAATTAACAAAAACATAGAATAATAAGTTTACTTTCATTCCCAATTTCAAAATTTGCATAGCCTAACCAGAATTTTTATCTATAGTCCATACACCATATTCTGTCCAGATTTGACACACTTTTAGGAAAATGAGCATTTCTCTCAATCTACCCAATAACTTTTGTTCAAATAAATTTTGTTGGAAAGAGGACTAAAAATGATAAGTTTTGACATAAGAGCCAACCTATAAGATGATTTTTCTAGATATATTTTTTTTATTTTAAAATACACGAAGTGGACTGTTTTCTCGAAACACACGGCTAGATTGTTTAAGAAAATTGTTTAGACTATGAAAACATCTAATTAGGGGCTACCAAAAATGTCACATGCTCTAAACACCTCAAAGATTATCCCCTACATTCAGTTTTGAAAAAGAAGTAAGTTTGATATTTTTCCAAGAGTGATAAAGTTGCAGCAGTCATGAAATCAGCAAAAAATACAAGGTTGCGTCACTTGTTCATACTAACACCTAAAATTACACCCCATTTCCAAGCATACCAACATTTCATACACACACAGGACATGCTAGGAGGTCGATTAAGAAGAGTATGCAGGATTGGAGAGGAGAAGAAGGGTGTGTAATTTACCTTGAGGCTAGCTTTCAAGTTCTACTTCCTTACTCTCTCTCTCTCTCTCTCTCTCTTTTAAGTCTCAAACTCTTACTCCTCTTGCGTTAGCCGCTCACAGACAAGAATGAGGGACTGAGAGAGGTGAAAATATATATACATAACTATTAGTGGTTTGGTTGGCATATATATCTAAGAAAAAAGTGAACTGTAAATTAACACAGCACTTGGGAAAATTTTATGAAGTTGGAAGAAGAATATTAGTTCTCTTTTAGCCTACTGCTCCCTGAATCTTGGAACCCCACACCTCCAAAACACTGATTTTCTTTTATTTCACTTTCTACTTTTGTTTGATGAGAAGTTCTTCACAATAGACTTGTCTGTATGGTTATACACTTCTAGTCAATAGCCTAACATCAGAAATATGATCTTGCATGTGCTTATTAAACCTGGAGTGACACTTGTAAATATATATATACAATATCAATATCCATTTCTGTGATTCTGTAACAGTATAGATGACTCAGGACATGACTTCAGTGGTCCAATCCACAAACCAAATATCAAATTGGTGAACTACAACGCAAATTAGCAAAAGCCTAGGCAATAGATCAATTTTAGATTGACACTCATTTAAAACCAGTGAATCCAACTACTGTACATTCAACATTGGTATGAACTTGCATGTTTATTCCATCTTCACACACTCCTTAATATTGACAAGAAAAGATCAAACAAAAAAATTCACAATCTTTATGTAGTTTCTAAAAATTAAGATTTGACAAAATGCAAGTAATTAGAACAAAAATTATATACATTAAACAAAGAGAACTAAGAGTGGCCAAGAGCTACAAAAATGAAATAGAAAATTAAACATGCATATGGTATGAACATTTAACATATAAAATTTACCAAGGCATTAAAGAATCAACAAAAATCCATATTAGCTCCCCTGCACAATCTCTTTCTCCCCTGCAATGAATTCTTGGTCAATACCTTTGGAGTTAGGGGCCCGCTGGAGCGTCAAAATCCTCGCTCGAGCGTGAAGGCCAACATCTGGGCAACTACACTTGGTTCCTAAGCTCAACCAACCTGTTATACACCTGCCCAACACAACCCAAGACTCAAATACAAAGAGTAAAGGATGTAAACGGGATGTACACAATAACCAATGAAAAGGGAAACCGGGATCGCTATACAATCTCTTTCTCCCCTGCAATGAATTCTTGGTCAATACCTTTGGAGTTAGGACATGTGAGGTGAAATTTTTTGATCAGTGATGTAAATAAATGAAGAAGGCAATACTTGGTCTTCCTAGTGCCCATGTTGAATGTAAAACAATAGAAATTAATGAGGACTAATAATAACTAGATGTTGAGAGGCTTACCACTGGGAATGTGGTAGTAAATTTTCAGTGGATCTACACAAATAACTCTATCATCTGACAGGTCCTACAGTTGAATTAAAATGTTTAATCCACATGGAATATACTCTGCAATGCATTTTGAAAGCAATTGCAGAGTACCTCAACTATCCAAAGATTTGGTTAGAATCAACCAGTGCAATTAATGATCAAATAAAAAAAATTATAAAATCTTAGGCACAGAAAGTTGTTTTAAAGATCAAAGCAAAGTTGAGTAGATAGATTAGGAAATAAAGTCCCTGATATTCCCAATAATATAAAATCCCAAAACCAATTTAACACATCTCACATATATTAGCATCCATATTATATATGCTATTCATATTTTTGTATCAACTTACTTTGTATGTAAGTTTAATAACCATAAACATCAAATGTATTGGATAATAGCCATCAGGCAGAGAGTCCATTCTCTGAGGAAAATAATCGAACACATAATAGTCAATTACTAAAACCACAGAAGAAAACAAAAATATTAAGCATTCAAGTTCAGATTATAAATTTAGTCATAAATCTTGTTTGGTAACCCAGAAAACCCTTTGTATAGACACACAAAATTGGATCAAAACATAAACTCAACCATAAGATTACACAGCCATAAACTCATAGAGACAACCCATCAAATAGATACTCTACAGCGACATAAATAGCTTATAAATCTACGAACTTGTCAATTGAAAAAAGAAGATTGAGCCAAACAAACTAGCAATCGACCACAGAAGTAACGAATTGTACGCAAAGCCGCCGAATACAAGTAATTATAACCAATCTAGGGTTGAATGTAAACAGTCCACAATGATAAATTCACTGGAAATCAAGCAAGCCCCCCATTTTTTAATAGCAGTAAAACCAATAGATTTAAGCTCCAGAAGGCTTATTTTTCAAGCAAACAATAGGTTCGAATGATAGATTAAAAAAGATATGGAATTGAAGCTTAAAAAAAGATCTCAATTTCTTGAGCAGAAAAAGAAAATAAAGAAAGAATGAATGAAAGAAGTGAGGGAGGCAGAGACAGAGACAGAGAGAGGGCGAAATAGAGACATACGTGGGGTAAAGTCAATCGTGGATCGACGGAGGTGCGACTGTGGTGCTGTGTGGGATGAAGGTGATGCTCATGTACCCAATGCTGAGAGACACAAAACGAGAGAAATAGAGGTGAACAAAGGCGAACAGAGGCGTGAGAGAGAGGGAGAGGCAGAGAGTCACAGTGAATCGGTGCTCCGGTTGCCAGCGAACGCAAGGAGGAGCGACGGTGAGAGAGGGATGGGAGAGGAGCAGCGTAGAGGGAGAGGGAAGATGAAGGGGGGGGAGAGAGAGAGAGAGAGAGAGAGAGAGCTGAATTCTCGTATTTTTTTTTTTTGTATTTTGGGTATTTAGTGAATTTTTAAAAGGTTTTCTTCACAATTTTTTTACTTTTTAGATAAATCTAAGTTAGGTATGTCTAAAAATTTTAAAAATTGCTTAAAATATTAAAAAAATCAGTAAAAACAAAAAAAAAAACACGGAAAATAAGAAAGTAGAATTTTCTAAAAAGTGTTTTTTGAAAAGAGAAACCAAGCATAGATTTAAGCTCCAGAAGGCTTATTTTTCAAGCAAACAATAGGTTCGAATGATAGATTGAAAAAGATATGGAATTGAAGCTTAAAAAAAGATCTCAATTTCTTGAGCAGAAAAAGAAAATAAAGAAAGAATGAATGAAAGAAGTGAGGGAGGCAGAGACAGAGACAGAGAGAGGGCGAAATAGAGACATACGTGGGGTAAAGTCAATAGTGGATCGACGGAGGTGCGACGGTGGTACTGTGTGCGATAAAGGTGATGCTCATGCACCCAATGCTGAGGGACACAAAACGAGAGAAATAGAGGTGAACAAAGGCGAACAGAGGCGTGAGAGAGAGGGAGAGGCAGAGAGTCATAGTGAATCGGTGCTCCGGTTGCCGGCGAATGCAAGGAGGAGCGACGGTCAGAGAGGGATGGGAGAGGAGCAGCGGAGAGGGAGAGGGACGCTAAAGGGAGAGAAAGAGAGAGAGGCACTGGTTTGTGGTTTGGAAACCAAATATATATATATATATATTACACCATTAGCGACTAAATATTTTTAGTCGCCAATTAATTTTATAAATCCCTCCAAAATTTGAAATGTCTCTCTCCAAATATTTTAATTTTTTGGCGACTAAAATATTTTTTTGTCGCTGAAAATAAGTTTTTGGCAACCAAACTTTTGGTTGCCAAAGATAAAAAATAATTTTTTATTTTTCATTTGGCAACTAAATGGTTTTAGTAGCTAAAACTCAATATACGGCGACTAAAATATTTTTTTGTCGCTGAAAATATGTTTTTGGCAAGATAAAAGATAATTTTTATTTTATATTTGGTGACTAAATGGTTTTAGTTGCCAAAACTCAATATACGACGATCAAAATATTTTTCTGTCGCTGAAAATATGTTTTTGTTGACCAAAAGTGTGGTCGCCAAAGATAAAGAATAATTTTTTGTTTTACATTCAGCGACTAAATGGTTATAGTGGCCAAAACTCAATATACGACGACTAAAATATTTTTTTGTTTCCAATTCTAGTATTTTTGGTGACTAAATTTTTTTTAGTCCCTAATAATCAATAATCCTGACTAAAAAAATTAGTAGCTAAATTTTATACTTTTGCTGACTAAAAAAATTTTGGTCGCCAATTCCACAACTTTTGGCGACTAAATTTTTTTTAGTCGCCAATTTTGGTCGCCAAAGGTGTATTTTGTTGTAGTGGCTGTGCAAACTAATAAATTCTTTTCTCCCTTTTTCATTTTATATCCTGTACTATTTATTCCTATTTTTATATTTTTATGAATGGTTAAGGTTGGTAAAAGGAAATCTAGTATAAAATAAACTATTCCTCTTTTCGAATTCATATCTAATTCATAGCTGCCCAAAATACTCTGTCCTACATCATTAAACCTATCATCATAAAAACATATAAAGACTTTAGCTCTTAAATTTTCTTTGGTTAAAGCCTTAACTCTTATCACAACTAATCCTAAGTGGGTCATTTTGAGATGTTCATTTACAGCATAATTATAACTTTCTCTATTTATTAAATTTAGCTCTATTTTTTCATCTCCTTACGTTACACTAATCATTTGTTCACCAAAGTGTTTAAATAAATATTGTTTGTTATGAATTTTTCCTAGCTTATATACATAGTTAGCTAGAATTAACTCTAGTTTTTCCTTTTAAAATTTTTCTATTTGCTGTTCTACATCTATAAATTCTTTTACTTTAACTTCTTCATCCTCATTACGCTTTTAACTGCTACTTCCTTTTACTAACTGTTTAAACATTTTTATTTTCTGTAAGTTCTACAAGCAGGTTTTCTTACTGCTAAACCTAATGGCAATTTAAGCTTTTCAAAATATTTAGCTATATCTTCTTCATTTATCCAAGACTGCACTTTACTTGCGTGTCCTTCTATTTCTTTTCCTTTTGAAGTACTAGTCTTTCTAACGAAGCTAAATGATTTTCTAAACTGCGTAGTTGTTCTGATAATTCCTCAAATTTTTCACACAACCGAACAAGAAATAAAATTTCTATATTATTTTGTCTTACAAATATTCTATCTGACTGATTTATTCCTTGATAGCTACAAATTCCCTCTGGGTTATTATGAAAGTCTTCTGCTTGTTTTAAAATGGCCTGGTAATCTCTGTTAGCCTTTTTATCACAACTCATAAATTTAGATCTTATTAGTTGTTCTAAAATTTCTAAATAATCTTGAATTTGATTTATCTGATTATGAATTTTTTCAATTGGTTGCTTAAATTCTAACTCTATTTGTTTCGAACTACTATTATTTATAGCTGAAATTGGAGTTTCTATTTCAAGCTTAGTGGGACATCTTTCTAAATTTAAATCTATTTATTTTTGTAAAATTGAGCTACACTGATCTTGGATATAATATATATTTTTTATTTTATTTTTTTATCTTAATCCTTAATTATACTGCGAGTATTATGAAGATGGTGTGGGGACAAAGTAAAAATATTATTGATTTTATCTAAGTTCTTTTTAATATTTTCTGCAAAATTAATCTGATGATGTATAATACTATTTAGCTGAGAATTATGTTCGCTATGGAGCTGATGTGTAAAAGTACCTTTAAAATTGCAACGAAATTTAGTTTTATCTATATTAAGGCGATGGTTATAATTACTGAGTTCTAAATCTAAGTATTCTACTTTTGTCATACACAAAATTAAATCCTACTTTAAAATTATTGATAGCTACTATAATATGAAACTTATAACTAAATCCTCAAATAATAAAAACTATTCTATTTCCGTAAGCAAAATGCATAAACTACCTTAAACTGTCCTAAACCGAACACTGTTTTGATATCATTTTTTTTTGGGGGGGAGGGGGATGAGTTAGTGGTTTACCACTATTTTGATGTTAGGCTGAGAATTATTTGGTTAATTCTACAGTTACGATAATATTAAATCCTTAAGCTGCCGTATTAGTTGTTGTAAGGTTTCTTGTTCTATTGCTAACTATCCATTTATTTGTGTGACTTTCAAACTATAGTGTACTAGAGAATGAATAATGCAAGCACTTTGCTACAGACCCCACGGGGTCGACCCTCACGGGGTCGACTCCAGTGAGGTGGCAGCGTGCCATTCGTTCAAATCATAAAAAAAAAAATAATAATAATAATAATTTTTTTTTTTTTATCAATGAAAAGCCTCCGTACATGACCCCTACGGGGTCTTAGGCATTTTTGATAATGCAATTCAGTAAGGGGAAAAAAAAAATTGGGAACTTCCATATTTTCCAAACTAGGAAGTTAAATTTTCCAGTCATTTTCTTTCAAAATTCTAATAAATTTGCACCTTCGCTTCATTTTCTATCATCTTTATTTTTCATCAACATATAATCAAAGCGATCCTTAAGTACTTTTTTGATGTTTATTGTTTGAAAAATGCAATAAATGCAATCATATAGTGAAAGAATGGAGATATGATTTGGAGCATTTCCATCAAGCACGTTAAACTAACATGTTAGTTATTTTATTCATAAAAACGTGCAAAATAGATTTGATTTTTCAACGGTTATTTTGACGAATCTCAATTCCTTAACCACAAGCTATCAAACTCTATAATAGATTTAAATAATAAAATATTAGGCAAGGACAGTACAAGCTCTCGCTCTCTTGATTGTTAGTAGTTTCAAATTGGAGTAACAACCAATTTGGAGATCAAAATAAATGTTGCAACCAACTACAAATCATTTTTTTGTAAAATTTTTACTTATGGATTCAAATCCATAAGTTAATATTTTGACTTCGTGCGTGCTAACATGGTAACTTAAAACTAATTTAAAAAAAATTACATTACTACAACTCATCACAATTTCTCATGTTATTGTGTGTGATTTATTTTTTTATATTACCACAATCTAACTCTAAACTTTCCTAAATATAAATTTACTTTCCTAAGTATAAATTTGTTGATGATGTGGCAAATTGGTTAATAGTCTTTTAATATTACAATAATTTATTAGTAAAAAATCTATCTTTTGTTTTATTATTATAGTAGGAATCCAAGAGACTATTAACACTTCCAACATTTCTAATTATAGGGTATACGTTTGTTTGTTTGTTTTTTTGTTTCTTTTTTTCCCACCCATACAGCTGAGAGTTGATCGTAAAAATCGTCCCCATTATCTGGTTCATTCTCCTATTGGTTATTTTGGTATTTTTTTTCCAGTATTGGTGATTCATGGGAGACACTATGCTGATAGTTGG